ACTGAGTGAGAGGGAGAGACAGCAGACTGAGGAACTGCTGCTGGCAGGAGTTATTGATTGCCCTGCTGGGCATATTATGATCTGATAACGCTGGATTAAAGCGCTTCTGTGGGCAGGGGAAACAGGAGATAATAACCCCCAACACCCTATCTGCCGCTGAGGACCTCGGAAGCGGGCACGCCGAGTGACAGGCGGCGTTGCCCCTGGCTTCAGCGAGCGGTAGGAGCCCCTCCCCGGGTTTCCTCACACCGGCGCTAACTCGCGGCCAGGTTCATTCCCTTTTCCTTTCAATGCTACGCCCTGCCTCCGCCTCTCTATCTCAGCCACCACCCTGTGCTTCCGTCGCGCGCCCCTACCGCGACCACCCGTCCGGGTTCGGCCCCTTTGTTCACCCGTCCTAAGCTGCCCGTCGTCTCCCCGCCTGCCTCCTTGGTTCAGCGCCCGTCGCCTGCTGTGTCCTCGCTCCAGGCCGTCTCTGACATCGAGTGCACCCGGCTTAAAGCCCCGCCCGGGTTCGCGTCCCTTTGCGTTGACGTCCCCGCTCTTCTCTCTTGATGTCACCCCTTCTCTTCCTCCCCCGTGGTACTTAGCGCAGCTCGGCTCCTTTCGACCGCCCCGACAGAAACCTCAGAACGACAATACTGTCGGCCGCCCCGACAGATTCCTGACACTCTTCTACCCTACCACTCCTTTCTCGGCTGCGCAGCACCGACCGGCCTACCTTACTACCCACTCTCATCCGTGCTAGAACCTAGCGGGACCCGCGTCTAGGTTCCGTCCCCTCTCGCAAATCCCCTCTTCATCGTTCGAATTCTCACCGATGTCCCGAAGGACTTAGCCACGGTAGCACCCCACCCGTGGCTCTTCCAAGTTCGGACCGCCAGCCGCGATACTGCGCCCCTTGAATCAAAACGGGACCGCGGATAGTAATGAGAACAATAAGTAAAAATAAAGTAAAAAAAAAACAAAAATAAAATAACGTAAAATAACTTATGCATATATATGTAAAAGATCCTAAAGACAGAGTGGGACTGCTAACACCCTACMGGTCCCGTAGGTCGGGTCCGTTGTAGCACCCATCGACAAAACTGAGGGGGGATAGCCTCGTCGGGCCCTCAACCCCCTCAGCTCCCTCCATGATGCTCCGCCGCTGCTACAYYGACGTCTGCTGGTCTYGATCCTTGAGTCCCTGTAATAGTAACYCAACGCTATAACCTAGAGGGCTAAGCCCAAGCCTAGTAGAGCTAGGAGCCAAATCCAATATAAACTGGTGCCGCGTCGTGCCTAGCCTTGGAAACAACAGTCTAGGCCTTCCCTTTCCTACCGCGGCCGGCGCGCCAACACCAGGCCCCCGCCCYAGCCTACTTAGACCGCGCCGTGGCCGCCCCACACGCCACCCGTGCGCCAGTCCTACCGACGGTCGCGCATGCCAACCCAAGAACGAGCTCTTACTCCTCATCCAAGCCATAGCACGGCCTGGGTCGGTCGACTAGACCGACCGCTCACTCAATCGGAAAAATCACACGCGCGCCTTCAAATTGCGCGCCCACATACCCTCTAACTTAACCAGGGCGGGCCCCGGACGCGATCGTGCCTCGCACAGCTTATTTCGACCAAACTCATTATTCCCTGTCATCTGCAAAAACCAGGGTGGATACCCTTGCCAGGGTATTCGCGTCGACAGCCTACCGGACTATATTAAGCGACGTCCCTGTCGCTACGCCAAATCAGAAGCTATAAATTCATCCACACTCCAAATGATGATGAGAGAGGAACCAATCCTATTAGCCGACAGATTCAGGGCTGAGGCCTCCAAGACTCCCTGCCGACATAACTATATGCTGTCAGGGTTTCAACCTGGGTTCCCAGTGTCCTGTCGCTAGGACGCAGGTGTATTACGCATCAATACTAAAGCATAAGTTCCAAAGACCACCCCAAATCGTCCTTTCCCCTTCGTCCTAGACAAACGCCGACTTTTCGTTGGGTGTCCCAATTAGACTCTCTCTCGTACGCAGAGTCATACGGGAATGCGGGCTTTAGACGAGACTTCAGAAGGCACTCTCACCTTCCTCGCGAAAAGCCTCACGACCAAACATATATATATATATATATATATATATATATATACATAAATTTCCTCTCAGCTCTTTCTGCAGTCTAGTACAAAAACTCTAGGTCTTCATCCTGACCCACCATAGTCTGGTTGATTGAGCCAGATCAACGGTCTACCGCATTGTTATCTTAGCGACAGTCCCTCCGTTGGTTATGCAACGATGGGTTTTCTCCTGATAGGCATTCAATCAGGACGCCCAAACGACTCGACTTGCATCCTTCGCCATTCCACTCGAGTAATTTCCTTGGGGCGTGCATAACCTCTTAAAATCTTACTCTGCTGGTAGACGTGGGCCTGCAGCCAGGTTATGCTGACTTGCAACCATCCAATAGGGGTTGCGCCCTAGAGGTGCTAACCTTTACCGTTTAGCTTGGTATTCCCCAATATGCCTTAGGATTAACACAGGTGTCTAGGCGGTGCGTCGCAAAACAAACTCACAGGGCCACTGCGGGACGGCGCAGGTGTCTGCCCTACTTTTTAAGGGTATGTACCAGCCCCCTATGGGACAACATAGAGGGCACGGCCCGTTCTCACAATCACAAACAATTTCACTGCTAGACTCACACGAGGCCGTGGCCTACTGACTTGATCAGAGACAGCAGACCACACATCCCACGACATCTTTATGCACTGACTTGCGACCTTCTCAGTTCCACCAATGATTCCAACTCGTAACCCTGGTCCCTCTCGTCAGACTTTATCATTCAAACATTGCTTACCACGTCCTTAAGTCTGTCACCCATTTTTCACATGAAGGGGGTCTCTCTCAACAGGTCTCCCAGCCACCCCTCTCTTTATAGGATGGATTATCACGCGGTCTGGGTTACACTGCTGTCAATAAACAACGCCCCCACCTTCCATAATCCGAGGGGTCTCAATTATAGAACAACTTAACTGAGGGGCCTTCTTATGGGCCGTCTCCGCAACTAAAACGCAAAACAACTCAAAAAAAGAGGCCAACTTATGAGTCCTCTTCACAGTTCAGCCATAAACACCCGGCATGGTAAGCATCCGAGCCTTATAGGCTTGCAAGACCCCTCAGGGTCCTCATACATCTGTCACAAAAACGACCGCGCTGCCTCCTCTTATACCCGGCCGTTCTGCCCGCCCATGGGCAGGCCGCACGAGCATACCGAAGAGTAGACGACAATCACAATCACACCATACACATACATGAGATGTATCCCACACATCTCTCACACAAAACCCTCATTCATTGGGATAAAGCCACACGTGTGAGAGTGATCGTGATCGTCACCAGAATAAGTCTTATAGAGTCTGGAATCAAAGATATACTCGGGAGCAAAACATCTCCCTCAAGTCTCTATATGATACTCACCTGAAACCCTCAACACACAACTCATAGGGTGTATTCGGAAACAAAATGCCTGCCCCGAAAACACTCAAATACTCACTCCATTGTCTCACTCCGCAGGATAAACTCACGTCCCAAGTGTCATGGATTCTCAGAACCTACTCAAAGATACAAGTAAGAGTATCTGAATCACACAACTGAAAACGCAAGTCGCGTATGTCGTAGATATCATACAACTAAGTCTCATCCCCTAAACCTTATCACACATGAAGCTCAAACCGATCACACACCGCCACCTATGTATGTACAACTAGACGAGACTCGCCTGACTAACTCAGAGTATGTACACCCCCATCACGGCCTCTGCATACAAAAGGGCTCTAATCCTACTGTCATATAGACGGACCGGTCCCTACTCACTCATAGTCTCCTAGTTCTGTCTATATAACTGTGCCCTACCCCCATCCGGAGCCCGTTCTACCACTCGCCCCTGCTTGTCGTACATTCTCCCACCACTCTCTGTTACTCTCCCAGTCGCCTTGTCCTTAATGAACTTCGGGCATTCAAGAGCTCTATGTATGCCGTCCTTGCAGAAGAAGTATTGATCGTCTGATCTCCCTCGACACCTCCTCTTCTTCTTTTGGGACCCAGGCAACGGCGGCGTCTCACTAGTTTCCCTGCTCATCTCATGGCTCTGGGGCATACTCCATGACTCTGCCGACGTCGCCTCCATCATCTGGGTACTCGGCCCTGCTAGCGCCTCACCTCCCTCGGGTCGGTACGCTGGAGTGTCCAATCTCAGTGGCCTACCCTCGCGGACTCCTCCCATCGCAGTCGCCCCTTCGTCCCTATGCAGGTCAGAGGGCTGGGGGGTCACGACAGTCACTGGCTCGCTCATAACTTCCTGCTGCTGCTCTGAGATGTGCTCTCCTGAGTCAGTTCCAGTAGCCCAAGAGCCCAACTGCGTCCTCAGCTCCCCTATCTCTGGCACGCGCTCCAGGGTCTCCTGCCTCTGAGGCCCTCCTGACGACATGTCCAGCTCCATAGCTGCCACCAGCTCGTCCAGTCGAGACGCCTCTCCCCCCATTACCTCCGGCTCAGTGGATGCCGCTGCTCCCGTAAGGGCACCCTCCTGCACCTCTAAGAGGATTGTAGGGGACTCCTCTGTGGGGCCCCCCTCCGCCTCAGGAGGTTGGGGTCTCTGCGCCGGCTCGTCCCCAGGAACCTCAATCGTCATAGTGGTGGTCTGTTGCGAGGCCAACTCCGTGGGAGTCCTAAAACTGAACCTTCTCTCCTCGGCCTCCCGCCTTGCCGCCGCCTCTGTTGGGTCCAGGAATACCTTTCTCATTCCCTCTTGCTGTAGCGTCTCTGCCGTTCCTTCCTGGCCAAAGAGCCCCTGTACCTCCTTCCCCTGGATACCATACCGGCTCTGCTCCGTCCAGTCGACCGCCTTAGTGGCCGAGAGCCTCTCTACCATTGCCGCCATGTCCTGGAGCCTCTTCTCCCACTCCGCCTCCTTGGCTTCCATGCGGGACCTCCACGCTTGGTTCTCTGCCCTCTCTTCTGCCAACTGGGTGGACAACTGTCCCACTTCTAACCTCGAGGCCGCCAACTCATCGCTGAGCATGGAATACCGCTGGAAGGACGAGATCGCCACTTCCCCTATCCTCCTGTTTGTACGCTCAATCTCCATCCTGGCGGCTGAAAATCCAAAGTCCTTTGTCTGTCGTGCCTCGCCCACCCTCGCATTGTCATGTCCTGCCTCTCGTGACCTCAGGCGAGCAACATCCCTCTCACCCTCGTAGCTGGCCCAAGCCTCGCTTATCCTCTGCTCGCTTGTCGGAGGGTCAATTGGCGGCTTTGGCGCCTCTCCTGCGGCCTCCATCGTAAGTTTTTCCTGGTATAGATCATCGAGGCGTACCTGCACCCTTGCGCGCTTCTCTTCTTTCGTCTCTCCCGGTGGCCTCCCTGTCCTCGCCTCGTGACCCTCTCGCAGTGGATCTCTCTCACTCGTCCCCTCCTTTGCGGGTGGCGGCCCTAGCGGAGGCTTCCCGGATGTCGACACCTCCACATCCATGCGTGCACCTGTAGACTCAGTTAGTTGCGGCACCACAGTAATAGGTGTCCTTGCCCTCTCGCCCCCCTCTGGCTCCGCCTGCGTCGGGGGTGGCGTAGTAGCTTCCGGTGGGGGCCCCAACATCTCCTCGCTGTCCGGTTCAGGAATTCCTTCAGGCCAATATTGCCGTGCCTGTTCAGGAATCGGGGTAGGAGGAGGGGTATCATCCCCAACAGTGATAACCCCCTCCGTCTGCGGCTCCTTGGGTTCGCGAGACCCCTCCTCCGGCCCCGGCTCAGGTGGCTCCTCCTCTGGCTCATCCTCTATTGGCTCATACCGTGCCGGTCCGCTCTGGTGCGCTCCCAGCTGTGACGCCCCCCACTGGGATGCATCAAGATGAGCCTCCAATCTGTCGAGCGGCGTCCTCAACGGCACCGCCCCCCCCCCCCTCTGGCAACGTCGGCAACGGGCCCCGTAGATCACTGCCCGTGATTCGGCGAAACTCCACCTGCTCGAGTCCATAGGTAGGGGGTAGCTCCACCGCCTGAGCTGGCCCCGCGGCCTGAACTGGCTCCACCGCCTGGGTGGCCTCCGCTGGCCCCTCTCGCTGTGCCAAGGCCTTTCGGCCCCCTCTGGTCGTAGTGGTCCCTCTCGCCTCTGGGTCCCGTGGCCTGTTACTCCTTTGTCGTCTCTCCACCCTGGGCTCTGGTCTCTCAGACTCCAGTCGTCGAAATGCCTGTCTCAACTGGGCCTGGCAGTCCTCCCAGTCGTGTGCCCTGTCCCGGATCTGCCTCGCCAACGACCTCTCCGCCCTCCGTGTCCAGAGGGGCAGCATCTGCATCCACTCTTCCTGCCCAGCCCCCTGGTCGCGCATATACTGCTCATAGGCCGGGATGAACTCCTCCGCATTGCCTTCCTCCAATCGAATAGGCAATCCATCCGGTCCCGTCGGCGAAGCCCTCAGCATCTGCATCCTCGCCTTCACATCCTGCCATGTCAGCGCCTCCTCTCGAATGTGCGCAATAGGCTCCTCGAAGCGCCAAACTCCCCTCAGGTGCCGTATCCTTTCCAAGGTAGACCAGCCCTCCCGTGTCGCATGTGCCCGGTAGGAGTCCAGAAAAAGCTCTATGTTACCGTCATCGAAGATAGGCGTAGACTCCCTCCCAACCGGTCTGCGCGAGTCATCCCCTTCTGATGCTCCCTGAGGCCTCTGTCGTGGCCGCGCGCCCCTCTCGCCCCTCTGCATGGCTGTCTTCGAAAAGTCAGACCTGCACAACAGGCGAGAGAAAGCAAGCAGGCACACAACAAGGTTAGCCTTCGGCTCCTCAAGTTTTTATGACAATACACATGCCTTTTCCTACTCCCTCACCTGCCCTGACCATAACATGCGATACCTCAAGGGCCAGTCTACTCTGAGAAGGGTAGAATTCTTTACCTATTCCCTGACCACGAACTTCTTCAGCCTGGTCCCTTATACCCAATCCTGCCAGCCTGTCCCGTCCACCTCCTCGATCTGATAGGCCCCAAATTCGCCGCACCGCAATATTCTATAGGGGCCCAACCATCTCTTGTCAAGATTCCTCGACCATTGCTTTTCCAAAGAGGAGTCGTATGATAATACGACATCCCCTACTGCCAATGACTCCTTTCTTACTCGTGCCATCTGGTCCCACCTCAGCTTATCTTCCATGCGACTCCTTTCCACCTGACCAGCGGCCTCTCGCAATCTTTCTTCGGCCGCCCCCACTTGCCGCGCCCGAATATCGAGCAGTTCTTCGAAAGAGAGGTTTACCTCCAAGTCCTGGCGCCTCCACGTCTTCATAAAGCTTTCTATGGGAAAGGTGGCATGCCTCCCGTACCATAGCGTGGCTGGCGCGTACTTGGTAGTCCTTTTTACCGTAACATTCTCCACGAAGAAAGCTGCCCGTAGGAACTTCGGCCACTGACCAGGCTTGCCCTCTGTCCACTTAGCCAGGAGATTCGTGATGGTACTGTGCCCTCTCTCCACAGGAGTGTTCGCTTGAGGGTGTGCGGCCGTAGTATAGTTGGCCGCTACGCCATACCCTGCAAGCAACGTCCTCACCTGCACGTAAACTTTGATCCTTGATCCATCACGAACTCCCTGACGAAAGGGTATCGCAGATAATACTCCTCGATGCAGTTTGCCAAAACCGGGCCAGTCTTCGTCCGGATAGCTCGTCCGTCCACAAACCCAGTAAGGTTATCCCGTGCATCGAAGATGTAGTTACACCCATTCTCCCCTGCTGGCATGAATAACAGGTCCAGGTGTACGACCACACCCACTTCCCTTTCTAACCTTGGGTGTAGGGGTTCTCCAGGCCTTTGCGCTGACCTCTCTTGACAAGGTATACAGGACCGACAGTATTTGATAACCATCGTTAGCATCCCATCCCAATGGTAGAGCTCGCTTATCTTCGCGCATGTGGCACTTACCCCTCTGTGCCCCCCTGCTATACCATCGTGTAGGGCCGCTATGATGTCAATTTGCCGGTTTCTCCCATATACGATCCTCCTGTGGTTCCCGACCTGCCGCTTTATAAACAAGTGGTCGTCTCTTACCACATAGAGGTGCCTCATCTTCTGTGCCTTGGCACTTGCATCTCTATCCCTCATCTCACATGATAGGAGCAACCCCAATTCCCGGTAGATCCCATCGTACTCCTCCGCCCGAAACGCCTCCTTGATTTCTTCTTCCTCGAATTCGTTGTCTCGGCTTTCAGGAACCAGAATCTCATTCTCCTTCTGACCGAACGAGCCCTTCCGGTCGAAGTCTCCTTGCAGGAGCGTATTGGTGAGCAGGTAGATCCCTCCCATTAACTGCTCATGCTCCTCTACCTGAGTGGGGCCTTCCTCTATTGTCCTCACTTCCTCCACCAGACTGTGCGTACCTGCCAACGCCAACTTCATCATCCAACCAACATCCTTACTTCCCCACGGGTCCTCCTCCTGAAAGGGGTTGAGGACTAACTCTTCCTTCTGCTCGTACCCCTTTGGTGCAAGCCATATCGGGTGACTGACACAACTGGGCACTCGCAGGGACCATTCGTTTATGTGCAGGCGGACGTTCCCCTCTTGATTCAAAAACCCATCAACTGGCGGCGTGTCTTCTATCGATTCGTCGTCCGATCCGTCCCAGTTGATGCGACTTAACCCATCTGCCCTGTTCTTGTTCCATGAGATCCTTTCCCGTTCGAAATTAAACATCCAAATGTAGGTCAACCATCTTGCGACGGTTGGGTCAGATGGAGTATAATTCTTCAGGGAACATGCTAGTGTAGTAGAGTCCACCCTCACGATGAGCCTCCTGCCAAAAATATAGTTCCGGAAGGTCCTTAGGCAATGGAGTACCGCCAACGTCTCCTTCTTGAACTGGGAGTAATTCCTCTCAGTTGTATTGAGGGTACGACTTTCAAATCTTAGCGGCCTCTCCTTCCCCTCAGTATCTGCCTGAATCAGGACTCCTCCCAAGGCAGTTGGCCCAGCGTCCGTCTCAATGACGAATGGTCTTTCCTCCGTGGCCTCATAATTTGACGCTCCCAACACCAAGCCCCCTTCCTTAAACTTTCCCTTCATCCTACCGACCGCCTCTTCTTGGTCTTCACCCCAGACCCATTCTTGATCCTGACGCACCAACTTCCTTAGATGTTCCGTCTTCGTGGCAAAGTCCTTCACGAAGCTCCTCCAAAACCCGCATGCCCCAAGGAAGCTCCTCACATCCGTTATCGAGCGGAAGGGCACTGACCACTTAAGAATCTTATCTGTCTTCTTTACGTCAGGCCTCCGCCCACTCTCATTGCAGATGAACCCTAGAATCGTGGCCTCCCTCATACAATGTTTCGACTTGGGGCCGCTCGCCGTCGGGTTATGTTCCTCCAATAACCCCAGAACCTGATCGATGTTTTGGACATACTTTCAGACAAAGCGCCGCACACCGGGCATCACTTCGTCTTCCTCCTTCTCCTTCGGACCTTTGACCGCCAGGTCATCAATATAGGGCTGAGTGATATGTGGACTGACCATCTGCATGACTCTGATCATATGCCTTTGCACCATCGCCACTGCATTCGTCCACCCTTGAGGCGCCACGTTCATATGAATCATCCCTCTGGCAGTGTACATTGCCGTTACAGGCCTGTCTGACAGGTATACAGGGAATCGGTCGTACCCAGAGTAGAGGTCTATGAGCGAGATTATAGGCCTCCTTGCGCACGACTCTGACAGCGCGTCCGCGTTTGGTAGACCCCCGCATCCCGCACCGTCACGACATTTAACCGCTGCAAGTCCTGCACCCACCTTAGCGTTCCATTTGGTTTGATAAAACAAAACCAAGGTGACGCATACGGTCCACTGGAATAGTCGGCCACGTGCGTCCGCATCTTGCCGTCCAGGTAGTCCACCACCTTCGTCTCCTCATCCGGATTTGGGTATCGCGCGCCCCTTAAATTCCATGGCTCGTGCGGAACGGTGTGGATTCGTATCATCGGAATCTTATCCACATCCAACCTTCCACGCTCATCGTCATCGAATGCATACGCGCGGTGCCTTTTCTTCATCAGCCCCACCATCAACGCTCTTTCCTGGGGCGACAGGAAGTCGGGCTCCCGGATTATTAGCTTTCCCTCATTCTCGTCGTTGATACGGCCCGGCCCGGCCAACGCATGCTCCCGCATACGCCGTATCAATCCTCGCTCCCGCTCGTAATAGGCTTCCTCATCCTCTGTGACGAGCACGGAAACTGGGCAGCACTTCTTATCTATGGTCTTGTACCGCCTTTGGGAACCCTGCTTAAGCCCTCCCCTAAAAAAGGCCGACTTGTCGTTCGGGCCTGGGCCATCGCAGGGCCTCCCCTCCCTCCCGGAAGCCGATACACCAACTCCACCTCCTCCACCTGAGGGTTCTCCAAAACCTGTTCCCTCAATGCCTTAATGGCCTCCGGATCCGCCATGTCGTGAGCCGATACCACCTCCATGGCCTTATTCACATCCGTGAGACTCAATGTCAGCACCTCAGCCCTATCTTCTTCCTCGGGCACTTCCCAAAGCCGTCTTCGCTCGTTCTCTGATTCCTGAAAGGTGAACGAGCCTAGATTGGGCCTATTCCTCCCGCTCCCCGGCCCCGTGTTCCGGCACGTGATAACTTCATAATTCCCACATGCTGGGTCGCACAGGAGCAGGATCATTGTTCCGTCGTGCTTGTTGAAGATCAACATTTCCGTCCTGCACAGAAACGACCGCCCCAGAAGGATGGGGTGATCGACGTTGGGCATAACGAAAAAGCAAGTCCTGGCTCCCACCTTCCCAATCTCTATAATCACATTAGACGTTGTGCCGCAAAAGGCGGCCTTGCAGTTAGCGCCGTGCAGCATGCCATGGTCCGAGCGGTAGATCTTCATGCCTATCATCACCGCCTCCTTCTCCTTGATGATGTTCATTTCTGCGCCCGTGTCCACCATCCCAGTACACATCTGGTTCCTTATCACCAAATCCACCTGCCCGCACGCCACACATTTCCAATCCATCCTTGTCCCAGCCTCAGTCCACTCCACCTCTCTAGGCAGGACCGTACTCAGATGGACATTTGGCACCAGCCTTCGCGACAATCGTCCCTTCAACTCACCGCGGAGCCTTAGCGCCGACGCCAGGATATCCTTTAGGTTCATCAAGTCATTGTGGCCTTCCAGGAGTTTGTCCACCATCCGCTCCACATCAAAACCCTCCTCCATCCGGACCGCGTACTTCTTTCTCTTAGGCACGTTGTCGGGCAGGCTTGGCTCTGCCTCCTCTTGGGCCCCCCTCTTTTTGGCCCTCAGCTCCGCCCGCTGATCCTCCTCTTGTCGGAGCCTCTCATCCTCTTCATCGTCATCCTCTTCCTCTTCCTCCGGAACCTCCACCACCTCCTTCCTATGTCCAGGCTCCGACTCCTTTCGAGGGGGTGCCTGACTGGGCGCCTGGCTGGGCTCTTGACTAGGCCCAGCCTTATTTTGGCTCCTAGTCCGAGCTGCTTGCGGCATCCTCCCCTGCGACGTGGGGGGTCTATAGGTCATACCTGACCTAGGGCCCGTCCCTACAGTCGCCACTCTTGGGCACCCTTGTTGTCCTGGCGAAGGCTCTGGCCCGGAGTCATAAAGGAAGACCTCAGGCAGGTTGGCCTCCCACTCTCGGGCTTCTTCACACAGGGCTTGCAGCTTCCACTGGTATCTCCCCACCTTTTCCAGCAGATCTTCCATCCTTCCCAAGAGGAGTCTGGCCGGCTCTCCCTTGCCTTCCTACCCCTCATCGTCCGACTCGACGACTATTGGCTCCTCTCTTATAGCCCCCACCTTTAGACGCTGGGTGACCGCCTCGCTATCTCCCACAATCTCCTCAACTTTTATGGCCAACTCTTCTTTCTCCTGCCACATCCTGAACATGGCCGGGGTTGTCGATGGCCCTGCCGCCGCTCGCCTAAGAGCTTCTTGCCTGATTCCTCCTGGGGTCCTAGGGTCGATATGCTCTCCCCACTTATCGTATATATCCCCGTCCATACAAGAGGAAATTAGACCTGCCAACTCATCATCTCGCCGCCGTTGGCAGAACTGTATAGTATGGCCCACCTCGCTACAATGCCAGCCAGCAGGTGGCGTTTCGCCAATCAAAGCGGGGCCTCCCATATCCTTGGCCCCCCTCTTGGCCACCTCGGCCACCTTGGTTTGACCCCCCTGTCCATTCCAACCACCCCCGCGACCCCAACCATTTCCTCCTCGGCCTCGGCCGCCACCTCCTCGACCCCCTTCACCTCGGCCTCCATTGCCTTGTCCGCCTTGTCCTTGGTTTCCTCCACCGGCCACGCTAACCTGCGAGGCTTGTTGGGAGGGAGATGGTTGGGCCACAAACTGACCCTGAGCCGCAGGGTAGCTCGGGGGCCCCATACTTGCAGCTGGGCCCTCATAAGGGACCATTTGCCCGGGCTGAGTTTGACTATCCCCGCACGAGGTGCGGTTACTACAACTGGGCCAGGATGTAGGCTGACAATGCGGCACCCAATGCCCACACGCCGGCGGCGGCCCCATACATGACGGTCCGGCCGACGCTGACGTTGTCGTGGCAGCAGGTGGTGGCGCAACAATCGCTTGCGGGACCTGCCCTTTTTCGGATCCTTGACCCCCCACTTGTAAATTCCGTTGCTTCCTCTGGGCCTTGGTTAGGATCTGGGAGCCCGTCTCTTCTCCGCCATAGTCCTCGCGCCTAGCCTCCTCTTCCACTGCCCCCGACGCCCGGCCTTGAGCCACAGTCACCCCCCTCTTTTGCACTTCCACCTCATTATCATACCCCAGCGCTGCCAATACGTCCGTGACGATCCTCTTCACCCCTGGGGTCCCGGACGAGGTGGCGTCCCTTTCCTTTCTCTTGCGCCTTTGCAGCCGCACCTGGTAATGCTCCACCTGGTCCAGGCTCCCCTCTTCCACCCCCTTGTCTATAGTGGCCCAGGTGAGTTTCTCATTTCCCCCTCCGTGACCCGTCAGCTCCGAGGCCTCCGAGCCAGTAAGCAGACCCAAAAATATCGCATACTGCGTTCCTTCGGAGATCCCGTGCACCTTCCGCGCCTTCCTTTTAAACTCGTGCACAAACGCCCCAATCGTGGAGAAGTCATCCTTGTTCATGGCCTCCAAATCCGCCATGGTTAGCAAGCCATCCCCCAACCTGTACTTTCTCTGCATCATGTCCCTGAACCTCGCCCAACTACCATTGGCGGCATCCACGACCTTGCCCACTTCCTCATGGTGGCTATGAAGGACATATCTTAGGATTCACTGGAGCTTAACCTTGTCCGACAGCCCCACCAGTGCTTGCTCTGTCAGGTCCAGCCAGTCGGACACCCGTTCTCCCTTGAAGTGGAAAGTATCAACCTTCGGGATATTGCTCGGCGCTCTCTCGTGCTTATCCAGGGCATTGATGAGGTCGTCGAACGTTACAAGCTTCCTCCCACCGTCCGCCATCTCCTCAGGCATTTTGATTAATTGCCTTCACCTTCAATCCCCCTGTTATGAGAAGCGATAGGACGAAAGGTTCCACTCAGCAATCCATTCCTTCACGATCCTATCATATCGACCACCTAAGCACCCGACGCTCTGGACCTGGCAGACATTTCTCTCTCTACTTCCTACCTCCCTTGGGTTCACCTAAGTAAGACCCATTCTCATCACAGAATTCACTCACATACTCGCCTCGTTCATGCCATCAACCAAACCACCAATCAGATCAACATTCATACCCACACAGCTATATAGACTACTATACGACCCATCTCATAGTTCTTCTCCTATTTGCTCATGTGCCTAGTTCTCTCTCATTCTCATATTACCCGGATGTCATTCCACCAGGGACAACGGTAGGCTTCCGTTATCCCCGGCAACGGCGCCACCTGTCGAGCGCATCGGTCCGGCACCGCACGCGGCAGCGCGGGACCCTCTCGGCCGCGTCACGCAGGAGTTGGACCAACCTTGTCGCGAACACACTAATGGAGCTTCCCTAGGCCGCTCCGGCCGAGTGCGCCAGCCATACCTCTCACGAGCCCCTACGACAGGATAGGGCCTACGCGAGGCACAACTTACTTTCACCTTACGGGAGCTGTCACCTCCCTTCGGTGGGCGTATCCCCGTCGAGCTACCAGTCCACAGTACGAAAGCTACTCGGTTGCAATCGCAGAGGTGGACCAGTCGAGGGCGTTTCTCGTTCGCTGTAGCATAGGGGGTACGCGTGGTAATACGCCTATCGGACCCGCACGCGGACCGACATCTTGGGGGGCTGAAGTTCCAAGCGTGGCTCGACGTCGGTCGACTAGGACGCATCCCACACACCACGCGCACACCACTCTACGAACACAAAAACAAAACATAGCGTGCGCACACATTGTACAGACGACACAACATGGACAATCGCGACAACGCTCCTAGTCCCTCGGTAGCCAACCCATAACTTTCCAATGCGGAAATCGGGTAGGCGTCGCGCGCGAGACTTAGTATAAAACCGCGCGGACGCAGGGCTAACTCCCATCGACTCGCAATGCAAATGTACGCAAGCAGTCGCAATAATAGCGTACTATGTCGTGCCCACAATCGTGCGACCCTCGTGGGTCGCATTCGACACTCAAGCGTCGGCTGACACACGCCTTGGGGGTTAATCTCTCGACGCTGGACAACCGCCGTGCGCGGTTGGAGACCACACCCTCTTCTGCACCCTGTGCAAAGGGGTTGAGTAGACAACTTTAAGCTGTCGTGGTGGTCGAACATCAAGGGGTTTGACTTTGACGGCCGCCACGGAATATAACGTCCAACCATGAAAACGCAAAAATGAGGCTCACTCCAACCCCCATTAGCTGATGGCCCTCAAAAATGGAAAGGGGGTGGATAAGCCCAAACGACGCGCGCGCGGAGGAGGTTCGGTATCCTATCCATAGGCTACCCGGCGTCCGGGATAATGAGGCCTGTACGCGGACTCCTAAAGGCTGACCAGGACTAGTCCTCCGCCCACGTGCCTCTTCACGTTACCAAGACCCCAAGTTTACTGGCCGGGTCGCGCTCGTGATCTCGCCGCCTGACCCATAACTCTTTTAGTGCGGGATGCGACGAGTGTCGCGCACGAACTTAGTATAGGATCGAGAGGGCGCTGGGCTTACACATACTATCTCGCTATGCAGTTCTACGCGAGTAACCGCGATGACGACGCATTGTGTAGTGTCCACACCCAGATGGCTTACTCTGCGCCAAGGGGTCATCTTTCGACGCTCAGGCGTAGGCTGAAGCGCGAGCCAATGGGGGTAACCCTTTGGAGTGCGCAAAACCGGCCTGAGGGCCTTTTCGTTTTCTGCACCCTGAGGTGTCCCGACGGGTGCGGGGCAAGACGACCCCTAGGGCAGGAGGGAGTTTGGAGCAGTGGTGAGTTGTCTGGCGCATCACCAGCAACACGCTGACCCTTCCACCCGGAACTTTATCGTTCCACCAAGATGAATCGCAACAAGGAAAAGAAACAAGAATTGGCGAGGGATATCCCCCCCCTTTTCTATTCACCCCGACCTTCGACTTACTCTTAGTACGCGGGCACTTCAGGCCACACTAGCTCCATACGTAGGTACACATACACTGGCACATATATATGTATATGCACGAGGGGGATAATTATGTGACGATCACTTCTCACAGTCATAGTGCGTCTCCTCCTAGCCATACATATATATGAGACCGCAAGGCAGCCCAACCAAACCCCAAGTCTTTGAACATACCTGCAATCACATCAAAAGTCAGACGAGAGTCCACGCACTACGCGGAGTCAACTCCAACCAGTTCCTATACTCATACCCCTCGCTTTAGCCATGCAAACCCCAACCTCCAGCCAACCAACCTCAATTAAATACTCAGTACCTTTATTAAATGGCCATTCAATAAAAGTCCGGGTGAAACCCTTAACAAACAAAAAGATCACCAGGGCTATAGCCTTTTAGGTTGAGTTTGGGGAGCGAGTAGGAGTAGAGTCGTGAGCCGACGAATCGGCAACCGACCTGTTATCAGTGATAACAGATGATGATCCTTGTAGGATCGAGCTGAACTAGCCCAAGTCCTGAATCGAATGTCCAAGAAAGGCCTGTACCATAAGACAGGTCAATGTCCAAGCTAAATCATCAGCATATGGGGGATGACCCCCCATAGCGCATTCTCACCCAAGTCACCTACCAATTAAATCAGAGTCTACCCCTGAGCCAGTGCCCAAGCAAAGGTAGACTAACGGCAGGATCTCCCCTATTCAAGGTGAATCGCCAGAATCGCCATATTTCAGAATATAACCTAACTCCTCTAAATCAAGAAAATTTCGGCAGCGCTTCCCGTAGGAAAAGTGTCTTTTCAGAATTTATATCAGTCTGAATATGATAGCAGAGATAGTCTTTGACTTTCCAAGGTCCAATTTTGTCTAACTCCCTTAATTAACCAAATTTTGGGCAGCACTCTCTTTAGAAAATGAGACTTTTCAGATTTTTACTAAGCCATACATGAACTTTAGACAGGTTGAACTTTGAAAAGTTAAGAATTGACTAACTCCCCGGATTTGTAGAAATTTCGGCAGCGCTTCCCGTAGAGAAAGTGGCTTACCAAAATTTATACAAAGCCAAGTATAACAAAAGATCCCAAAAAATGCAAGAATCGATCTATGAAAAAAAACTTAGCTAAAAAAATGCAGGAATTGACCTACTCCTATCGTTCTAGCACAAGGCGAACCTCTAAAGCAACTACCTGTCAATCTGATACTCAAACCAAGTAGTAGCCTCACTCAGCCTCATGCAGGCCAAACCACAAAGGTAAGTACTCTCGCCACCCCAAATCAACCTTTGCAAACAATAGTTCGTAATCTTTGGATGCTTTATTCCCTTATACCCAGCTTACATAGGGCATAAAGTCAAGCCGTCCAATCTTATGGAACTTGCCTGACTCAACCATTGAGTATACACGAACAGGTGGCACAACTACTTCTTTCTTCCTCTTGGGCATACGACTAGGCCGTTCATCTTAGAACAAGGCGTAGTCGCTCAGAACTGTTTAATACCCAACTTATATATACCTCTCTGAGCTTAGTGTCCAAAAGTTGGGCATAGGATCGAGCCGTTCATCTTAGAACAAGACCCGGCCTGCCCAGGGTTATCTTCAATTATATTCGTAATTATACTCTCTTCATTTTATGATAAGCTATAGTCAGGCCGTCCAATCTTATGGAACCCATGCCTGGCTAGCCTGTTCATAAATAGAATAATATAACGTATAGCCAAATTTTAACCTTTTGGGGTTCCAGCATGTGTGAGGCATCGGGCCAGACCGTCCAATCTTATGGAACATATCTGACCCTCTGCCAGGTTCATTACTCTCTGATCCACTGTGTGCGGCATGAGTCCAAGGCCGTCCAATCTTATGGACATGCCCTGCCCTTTGCAAAAATTATCCCCTCATAATAAAACAAGAGGGGGTTGAGCCGTCCAATCTTATAGACTTGCTCAGACCTCCTCAATTAGAAACAAAAAAAACAGAACAAACCCAAACAAACATGGCAACCAAACCCTCCAATCTTGTGGTACAGGTTTGACCCCTGAAAAGTCAACCACAGTCAACCCTCACAGTTCAGAGCAATCAGACCATGCAATCTTATGGAACTGGTCTGACCCCATAGGATCCTGTCACCCTCAGGCAAACCACCTTTTACCCACCCTTCCCCCAGATGCAACCCCTTGTGTTCACAATCTGCCTTCAGGCAATCGACAAAAACTGAAACTGAGATTGCGCACACATTCTTTTACTTAATCTGAGTTGTGTCCTGCCAGTCAACCCAAAGCCAAAATAGGGATACATACAGTATACTCAGTCAACCATAGCAAGACGTACAAGTAGGGGTTATATCAGGGTATATAAAGGGGAAGGAATGGTTACCTCTCAATTCCTTGCCTGGCCACTACCAGCTCATTAATCGGTATTGGACTGGGTAGAGTTGCTGGCCATCGGCAGCTCTTTCACGAGATCAGACTTGATTGGCTAGCTGGCAGCAGCCAGCTCATTCACGAAAGTGGACCTGATTGGCTCGCT